CTAATTTATCACTCTATTCCGGTGTTTGGGCTAAAACGCCGCAAAATTTATACTCTATTACGACGTTTTTACAATAAACGCCGCCATTAATTAACCCTTATATGGCATTTGTCTATAAACAATGCTAAACTATTCTTCATTGTGGCGTTTGTTGGAAAAACGCCATTATAAAATACCCTATAGCGGCCTTTTTTGTAAAATCACCGCTATATGTCAATTCTATTGCAGCGTTTGTACAACAAACGCTGCTAAAGTATCAATTTGTGGCGTTACAATTGTAAACGCTGCTATATGTTTAACTTTTGTGGCGTTTTCTTTCCAAATGCCGCTACAGAACAGTTTTGATGTAGTGGAGATATTGGAAGCGAGTTAAAAATCATGTTCAAAATGATTACAAAGCTTGGTTTTGTGCATGAAGAACAAGCTGAAATGGTTTGATAGGCATGTTCGGGGAGTATTTTTAGGAAGTTAATCTAATTTTTTTTTTGTAATTTATAATATTAAAGGCGTAGTATTGATACATATGTTTCAATTGTGGCTAGTATAGGCACATACGAAACATTACAATAAAGTTTTTAAAACATTAATTAATTTTTCATTTCAAGTAGTTCAATGAAAAAACACAAATAATCGATACAAGAGTGTGATCGATTAGGACATTTGTTCTTCATGTGTTTGGGAATTTAATAGATAGAGCATAACTTTGGTTGTCCAGTTATTTCTTGATGTTCAACCAAATCCTAGTCCCAATAAATCCTCGTTCATTGTGGATGACCTTTTTTTTTTGCATCGTAGTGTGAAATCTGGCTGTATTGTAGGTTCATCATCAACTTCATCCGGATCCCTCTCGTTTCCAATGGGAGGAAACTTGTATTCATAAACATTGAATATGGTTTGAAGTAAGTATACCCGATCAACGAATTGCATGTAGTGAATCTGTACAGAAGAACAAATAGCAATGGCGTGCGCGCACGAGTATTTGAATGTTTGGAATACTAACAATCACAGGTTCTTTCTCGTAGATTAACCATATATGAATTATGTTGTATGCCTTCCAATGGTCTCGAATATTTTAAAACATGAAATATGTTTTGTTCACGAGAGACACATGTCATATTCATCACATTTAAATGCCACACAAAGGTTTGCAATCTTGTGTGGAGGTCTAGGTGGACTATATGGCCACCAACCATCCAATCAACTGCTTGCTTTCCCAATGTCACAAACAGTGTAGCCAACCGATAATATGTCGATTTGACAATGGAAGTGATAGGCAAATGTCGCACTCCCTTTCCTGATGAATTGGTCGCCTCATCCAAGTTCGTTGTCATGTGACCAATCATCTACTCCCATCAAATGATCAAAGTCATCTATCCCTTGGGATTTTAGCAAGGTAGTTATAGCCTTGTTGATTCATGTATCTCAATCTTGAAATATCTCCTCAACCTCACGTATGGAATGAGAGTGACCTATCCATAAAAAAATTCAACATTTAATTAGAAATAATATATAAGAATATATCTTAAACCCGAAAGAGTAAAAGCGCACTCATTCGAAGCACCATTACGCGTTCATCTTCGGTCTTGAACTTTTGAAAAATAATTCACAACAATGTGGCGTGAACAATACCGATGATAAATATTGGGAGGTTATCAAGACGGTCTCATAAATTGGATTGTGTATTTGATCCCTGCGCCCCAATCAGAAATAAGATATATTCCATCATCTCTATCGTGTAAAACATGTGATAGAACATGTTTTGCGTGAGTTCTTAAGGAAGAATTCCCAAGAGTTAAAATTACATTTTTGAAAATGTTTCAATGAAGAATTTCCACGTCATTCTGTGGACTCGAACCGAGAAATTTTTTAAAGAAAGGCATAAAGCTTGTAATAATCATGAAGCGTTATATCAAGGAGGCGTGTATAAATATTTTAGTGGAAAAATTTCATAATCTAGTTTGCATTATTTGAAGAAAATAGTCGATAAAGGTAATATCAACGCCACAGATGTCTATGGCCTTATTCTAATTTGTTCTGAGGGTGAATTAAGAGATGAAGGACTCAAATCGTGAAAGCTCACGATCTCGCAAATTCTAAGAAAATAAAGTTATAAGTTATTCATGCACAGATCAATCCGTTTGTCCGCTCAATATCGTGGAATGGTCACAACATTGCCTTTCCATAAATAATCGAAGACTGCAATTGTGACGACAACTGTCTGAGTTATTCATATGATCAGGTTTGGCAACCATCTAACAACCTATGTACTCGTTATGATTCTTGTTTTGGAATCATGAAGCAATTTTATTTTGTAATACGATACATTAGATTTAACAAGTTTTGTCTATTTATTATAAAAGTGTTTTTTATTATTTTATTATATACTTCACACAAAAATTAATGAATAATATAAATTTATTACAAAGAAATTTACTGTTTTGTAACAAGTTCTGTCTATTTATTATCAAGAAATTTATTTTTTCTATAACGCCACTGGGACTCCCGTTACGCAAACTGCGAGGTCCCTTCATCAGAAGCGACTTGGCGATGGTTCAAATTCTCGAACTATCGAGGCGTTTCAAAATATCGGGACCTTGCATTTCGCATAACACAAGGTCTTTTTTTGAATTTTTAAAGTTTTTTCTCTAAAAAGTATTTCCACATCGGAAGGATATCGCCCTATATGACTTGAGGCCATGACACACTTTTTATAAGATGCGAGGTAGTCTTACGTGTGCAGTTTGGGGGTGTTTTTCCAATTAATGATGTTTGGGATTATTTTTCTAATAAAATAATAAATGGGATTTTTTATTCTAATAAAATAATAAATAGAAAGTCGCCATGTAGTTTACAAAATTTTAAGAAATCACCATACAGTTTACACGATTTTTCCGAAAATCATCATGTCGTCCAGACGAAGTCCACAGGTTACTATGGCTATCATCCTAAATAATAAAATAATTTTTTAGTGCACCTTATTCAAACAATTTTTTCCACCTCATTATTTAAGTAATTTTGCCGGAAAATACAGTTGATGGCTTGAGGGGAAAATAACATAGAAATGAACTTTGGATGTATTAATGATTTGATATTCATATACATTTACATGGAGGATACGTGTTGTTGAAAAGATTCAACCATTGAACAAGTTCATCACTAATAATTTTAAACCCAGGAAACAAATTACTACCAAATATAAGTGAAATAACATAATGATTCCTCGCTAGGGTTTGTTCACTTTCCAAATGCAAAAGACAGAGAAAAGAAAGCGAAAGTAGCCATTTTTACCAAAAGGGAAACTGCCTGCCAACAAATGGCTGGTATAAGTCATTGTTAACATAAACTCCCTAAACCAATCGATTCTCAATCTGTTTTCCTTTATTTTTGTCTTATTTTGCAAGCTTGGGTAAAAAGACTGGTAGATATTTTTCTTTCTGTTTCTGCATTTGTTCACCTGATAATCAAAGTTTGGTTCCTTAAAATCCAAAACAAATTATTTGCAAAGCAACAAGTACCCTTTACCTAATATGTTGTTTTTCCTTCGAGAAAAACAAATATATATATATATATATATATATATATATATATGCCAACATCTCTACATTTAGTTTTAAACCAAGCTGTTCAGTTGCAATCCAGCCATCAATCAGTACCCTTTTTTGTTTGTTATCAAAGATGAGTATAATTTCATGGGTGAAAAATCAAGCTAACAGTTTGCTTAGTCTTTTAGTGTGAGAGTGGAAATGGGTTTCTTTTGGATATGATATCCCATCCGTTTAAATGATTATCTAAAGCTGCTAAAAAAAACTTTCGGTTTGAAAAGCGTTTTCACTGTAACAATATCAATTTACCAAGCGGGGTCACTTTCAGGGTTAAGAAGCAAGAATCTTTTATATATAAAACATAATCCAGTAAGGATGTTTTAATCGAGATTAGTTTTATTTTATTTAATGTTTTGGAAGCAATCTGTGATATTAGCAACCATGCAGAAAAAATTAAAGCATGTAAGAGCATTCAAGTGAATTAGAACTCATCAAGTGATTTTAATGGTAAAAAAGAGAAGTTAAATATTCAAGTAGTAATTATGTCTACTGAGATTATTGTGAACCATTGAGAAATATTCTGAACAGATGGAAAGGTTTTAAATACCTACTATCAATCAAGGAGACTGACTTAAAGATTCTGAAGGGTGTGTGCATCTTAAGGGTACACGTACTTTGTTAATGACTAATAACATAATATTAGACAGATTGAGTACATGAGAAGGGAAGGGTTTAAATACCGACCCACCAATTAAGGAGACCGAATCCATAATGATTCTTAAATGAGGTGCTTTTTGTTTGGTCTTTTTAACCTTACAAACGTTACTTTCTTAGCAGATGTAAAGGAAGGGTGGTCCTGAATCCCCCCCTCCCCCCCGCCTTTTTTCTTTTCTTTTCTGAGGATTTTGTTTCCGTATTTATTTCATCTGGTTTTTTCTTATTCCTGTGGTTTATATTACAAATTCAATACAAAAGAGACGGACTACAAGTTAATCAGAGTGCTTTTTAAATTCATTTATGAATTTCTTTGAGATTTATAGTTGTATGTGGTAGGTATAAAAGCAAAGGACCCCTGCTTTTACCCCACCTATGTAATGGCAATAGAGAAAGATGGCCAATCCAAGGATAATTCACCAACCAGATAACCCACTCTCCATGGACCTCATCCATTTTGCAGAAATTTGTTAAATGCAAGGAACAAATTGTGGGATGGTTCGAAACTTGGTGGTATTTGGATTTCCTTGATCATTCAACAAACCATCCATCTATTTGTTACTGAAACTGTAAGGTTTATTGTGAATATTTATTATAGTGATTAGTGTCAATATACAATTGTTAGTGTCCGTAGACAATTAGCCGAAAGATTGGGCCACTAAAAACTGTCATACGAATTAGAAATAAGTGAATATATATCGCATTTATGGCTATTAAACAAATGTTTCCCCTGTAAACGGCAAAACCAGGGAGAAAGCTATAGATGTCCAGACCAAAAGTGACTTCACCCAGCAGATATAGTGCAACCGCAATCTCTTGAGTTTCATCCAATTTCCTTGAAGCTCGTTAAGAAACACTAATTTGGCACCCACAACTCTCTTTACACCATCTTACAGCTGTCCATCTAAACTCAAAATTATGTTAAAGTACATCATTTATCAATGAGCTCCATATAATATGATTTTTGAACGATAATTCAGTTCATTATAATACAATAATTGTTGGTGTTATCCTTCCGTACAAATCCCACGTGATAGAGATTTGAAGTTGACGCCTTTACGGTTGCCATGATAAAAGAACCAGCATCCTAAAATGTACAGCTGTTCACAACGTGTGTTGCGTTTCGTCCAGGGACTAGCTTGATGGAGATCAATCTCCCTTGTTGGTATCACTCATTTGGGAACTTAAAAAGCAAAACCTTGGATGCCATTGAGACCCCGTAGAAGCTTCACGTTGACATGGATATCCTTCTCCAGGAAGCTGTTCATTTCCATAATCAAAAGTTAGCTCTTCACCAATAGCTACTGCAAAATCAGAAAGTGAAAGTGGTAGGATTCAATACATTAAGAAAACAATGAAACTCCTACATATTTGAATGGTAAATAGAGACTAGCATTGATTGATTGCCTAATAAACCTTGGTATAGGAAGAGATACCTATTCAAAAAAATTTGAACCGCCAATCATCATGGGGTTCACAGATGTGATTCAGAACGAGACACACTTACACTAGAGACCAATGTCAGCACTGTGACAATCCATGCCCTCCACAAGAACTTGATGATTCACAAGATTCGAGCAACTGGAGAGAATTAAAGGAAAGAAGACGAAGAAGTATCAAGAGTGAATCACTAAAAATTCAGTAATTTAAAAGTAGAAAAGTTGAACTGCAACACTAAGACACCTAGTTCCTCTTTAAGGTCATAAATGCTAAAAGGGTGAGAGAAAATGATTAATATATATTTAAAATATCAGAATCGTCAAATTCACAACTACTATAGGCAGGCAACAAATTGGAAAGGTCCAAATTAAGAGTGTCAGAAAGCATCTTCAGTACTTGATTCATAGCAAGTGTATCCTCACCTATGATTGATGAACCAAGAAACATTCCCACACTGGGTTGCATCCATAACTTATTGGACCTGTCCCTTAATCAACTGGCTCATATCATTACCATGGGAATCAATGTTATACGTATAGTTGCAACCGTCTGTATCATACTTGGAATCCAATCATATAGCCTACTTAACATAAAACATAAACTAAAAAGAAAGAAAAGAAGGAAGAAGCAAGCATAGGGCGAAGACAGATCCACATAAATCTGGAAATAAAACCTGGTAAGACATGAAGCAACGTCAAAGGATAAAACTATAAAATACAACCAGAATTTGAAACTATTACCTTATTCTTTGTTTAGAAAATTTTTAATTTCAGTCGTACGTTATTTTGTAATACCCTATTTGGACATGCTATGTTGCAGCTACACAAGTGCTTGCATTTGCAGGCAATGTAACTCTCATGCACAATTTTAAGAAGGCTTCGCATATAAGCCACAATTAAAGAAAGCAGCAAGAATGTCAATCAGATTACATTTTCCTTTTTAATTGTCAAAAGGGCTAACCGTCATATTAGATGCTTATGAGTATCCTATAAAATCAGTGCACGCCTTTAGGAGACAATTATAAATAAAAGAATCCATTGCATGGCAAGAAAAGGAATGTACAAAAGAAAGGTATCTGATTAACCGTTTAGAAAGAGTTTTCCAGCAAATAAGGGTAGATAACTCCGTGATTTGAGAAACAGTATAAAAAAAGCAACACCAGAAATGATGCTTTAGGGTGAAAAGAGTAACGGCTGACAGAACAAGAATTAAAGTACTTACAAGATAATACGCCCTTCGTCATCACAATTCACAAGGAAAATTGCCATGCACAGGTTTCTTGTATATGTCTCTTGCATCATCATAATCATTACTAAAGAGATATAAATGATCAAATGTCTCAGGACAGCATGTTGAATAGGAACAGGTCATGCAAGCTGCAAACTCTGAAAATGATATGTACATATATTACAAGTAAAAGTGGCAAAAGTATTTATTGAACAAATCATAATAGTTAAACCTGTTCGACCAACGTACAAATGCATTCCACAATGTGACGGATTAGATGCAAGCCATAAGAAACAAGAAAGATACCTGCGCTTGAGTTAAGAAATTGATTTCATAGTATTATCAAACAAAATTGAGAAATCTCTGGCATGGGAGTAATCAAGAAACTTAAAAATAACTTCCGGTGGTAAGGTCATTGTGATATGAAATAAAAGTAGGAATCTATATGCTGTAGCAATAAAGGAAAGGATATAACAATCTAAATACAAAGGTACCTCAGCAACAAGAAGAGATTGGCTAAGGAAATATTTTGTAATATAACTAAAGCTCCTAGCATTTTGGTCACTGGAACTATCAACAGAGAAGTAACAGGAATCAAAAAGACTTCCATCCACTACACAAGCTACATCAATGGCCCAATTCCAAATAAACTTATCCACAACCCACTTTTATCTTGCAATACAGTATAAATCAGAGGTTAAATGCTACTACAAGAAAAGGGAAAGGGAAAAAAAGTAGAGAATTTTGGGGGAAGGAGATGCCAAACAACCTAAGTAATGAAGGCTATAATATTGTGACCAGCAAACATTGAACTCCAGTGAAATCATGACTAATTTGAATCACCACAAACCAAACAAAGCCAGCCAATCACCCCAAGAATCTAACACTCAGCTAATTTGAAACATCAAACACTATGGATTTAATGCTTGAACACAACTCACTTCCAAGTAAAAATCCTAAGGATGTTAACTTAAATCCAAACAACAAAACCCAACAGAACCATAATGGCAATCTCATAACTACCAAATATATTATGACAAACATTATTTTACTTCGATATATTCACACATACTTAATAAGAAAATATAAAAAATACGCCATATAACTGGCACCTTCAGTAGGAATTTTTTCTTGTTAACCTTTCTAACTAAGAAGCTAACTGAAATTAAGGTATGACAACTAGCTGGAATTGCAATGAGTTCTCAAACAAAATTGCTCATCAAGGGGCTTCAAGAATCATTACAGAACTCAACCCAAATATGGATAATTAAGGAAAAAATCTATAGCAAGGTGCTAGATAGAAGAAGCGATTTTCAATACTGGTTATAACTGTTACAGGACAATAAAGATGAAGGAAATCGAAGTAGAACAATAGGTGTACATTTCTAGACTGGGGGAATGGCACATAAAAACTTGCACCAGAAAAGTCCACTGATAAATTAATTAATGCTTTCTATAAAAAAAATAATTAATTAATGCTGAAATCAAGTTTTGTACAGGGATCAGACATTCAGCAAATTCTGGCCATTCTATTTTTTTTTCTCAATTGACATAAAACTTCTAAGCAACTATAACAAGAGTGATATCCAACTTCAGTTTTTTTCTCTGTAGTAGCATAAAGTCATGTCCTTTCCAGGCTTATTAAAATTGAAATTTTCGGCATTAGAAAGCAAGAATTTTGCACTTTTCATAATCATGATCATAGAAGCCACAATACAAATGCAATCAAACATAGATTTTTTTACTATATTCTATAATCTTGGAAAGGGGAGGATGTTTCAATTAAAAACGTGAAAAAGTAAAGTTGGGTTAGTTTAAAAAAAGCACTGAAACAAATTCCTTACAAAACTCGGAAACCCTAAACGCTGCAATGGAACGTTAACGAACCGATTAACTAAAATAAAACAGGGAAAAGGAAACAAGTAAAAAAAATCAAGGAAAGAGAAGCCATTGAAACAGAAATTTACTTCATTACTCTTCGATGAAGGGTGGATTTGCACGGGGAAAAAATTTGGACCATTTCTCGATTTGTGCGTGTCATCCTTGCGCAGGGGCCATGCTAATCTTCTCTGTATCGTTCCAATTTTATCGGATGTCCCCAAAGGAAAACTTCAGAGATTGTAAGTTTCTGTACTTAAGCTGGCAGGAAAAACTGTACGTGAGTGATGTGGGAGTCTTCGATTTGAACTTCCAACCGTGGTCTACCATTCAACTGAATAGGTATTGATGGACCTGGCACAGAAAGCATTTGGGTCTCAAATGCCAGGCCGATAAGCAAGCCCATGAATAAAATTATCTTTTCTATAAAACCCAGATACATCCGATTAAAGTACTATTGAATTAGATTTAATAAAATGAAGAGAGTGATATTTATTAAAATATGAGATTTAAATATAAAATTGAAAACAAGTGCAGCAATAAAAAGCCAGTGGAAGGATTAGTTTAAAAAACTTTAGTCAATTAAGGTTTCATGTAATTTATTTTATAAAAATATCTATTTCGTTTTTGGAAAAATTCAGTTGATGTAAATTAGGTTGTTAATTTTAGTTTATCTTATTGATTAATATAATCCATTTGTATTTTGTATAAAGTATTTTTTTAGTCTAATTTTTATAAAATATTTTCTCATTTTTAATTTTAAAATAAACAGCCAAAATACTCCCGTCAGTATCTCTCCCTTAGTGACAAGGATAAAATTAATAATTTTTATTCTTTTCTTTAACTGGATATTGATTGACTAATTCAATAAGTGTAAATAATTTAATAATATTTTAGATTAGTCACTATATTTAATTTATTGATTGACTAATCTAGATCGAGTAGTAAAAAAACTTATTATGAGAGCGATCCTCCCAATCCAGATTGCTATATTTACAATATCAAGATTCAAATCGTTGATCTTGCTCAAGAGATTTAGTGTTTCATCTTACTAGATCAACTGATTGTTAGTAATTTAATAATATTTCTATTATAAAAATATTGATTAGATTATAATATTTTAAAAATAATAATATTAATTTTTATATGAATAATATTATCTATTATATTTTATAATTTTAATGAATTTTATTTTAAAATTTTTATCAAACATAGGTAAATTATATATATATATAACTTATTTTTAAAAAAATATATTATTCAAAAATATATTTTTTAATGATAAAAAGTAATCTTAAATTTCAAAATAAATTCCCAAGGAAAGAAGACTAATGAAAACAATGAATTCAATTAGGCCAATGAGTGTTACATAAGTGGTTGAGATTAACTTGGAAAATTAAGCATTTATTACTATCTCTTTCTTTATATTCTTTGTTATATTCTCTGACTCATGAAGTTTACCATGGTCAACATTTCTGAAACCCTTAAAAGTTTGCAGGAAAAATTAGCTAATCACGAGCAGTTATTGAATTCCCTCCAGAATCATGTTGAGGAACAGAAGAATGGAACGCAGACAACCAACGAACACTGATGGATAATCAACGAACCCTTCAAGATATGGTACGTCAATTGTCAGTGATTTCATCTCAACTGGGAGGCACATCCGCCACTGCCAAGGAAGGAGTAGGTGAGATTCTGGGCCAAGGGGAAAGACGAAAATCAAAGAGGAGACAGGATATTTTTCCTTTTCCTCCTAAGCTAGTATTCATGGAGCTGTCCTTATTCACCGATAAAGACCCCGAGGAATGGCTCGCCTCTGAAGAAGACTTCTTGATTTCTATAGAACCGAGGACCACCCTCTTGTGACTATGGCATTGTTTCAAATGAAATGAACCGCAAAAAATGGTTCAAGTTGATGAAGCGACGGTGACAACTAGCGGGTTGGAATCATAGTACTAAATTCCAGTCGCAACGCAGCGTACGTTCGTATCGTAACGAGTTTTAAGGTTACCGCGACGCAATATCGACGCAACACGATAAGGGAACCACATCACAATTGTTGCAGTCAAAAACCGTTACGTAACACCATGATAAACGTCGTTTTGCTATCAAAATAATTCCGGCTTCTTAAATAGAAAAGAAAAGATAGTATAGAGAAGCAGAGTCGATCCACAGGGACTGTGGTGTTTCTGATTTAGTAAAATTGTTTCTTGATTTTAAGAGGAGATAGAATTCCAGGTAAAGTTAAAAAATTTAATAAAAAAAATAGATAATAAATAAAAGGGAAAATAATAATAATAAATAATAGTAGTAAAATAAAAAGTGGTTTTTAAAAGTTATTTTTAAAATAAAAGATAAGAATTATATAAAAGAAACAATTAAATAAATAATTTAAAGAGATTGAGATAAAGAGAAACTTATAGTGAAAGGAGCCTCATACTTCAGTTTGTCTCAAATTCCTCGGATCATCGAAACTGATTTTTACTTCAAGATTCACGTCGGCTACTACACGAACAATCCCTTGTTGCCGACTCGGATTATGTTGTTTCAACAATAACTGATTCGATCTCTATTTCCTTTTATCAAACAATTTTGCTAAGTGTGTTCTCGGGGAGTCGAATATGTTTCAATAAGCCAATCCGTCTTCCAACGTTAACCATAACAATATCTAGACCAATGTTGAAAAATCATTTGGATTTGAAAACTAAGCTCAGAAAACAGAGAGAAAAATCCGAAGCGATTTATGTACCTTACAATTCTCACGTTTGAAATTGAGTATTCGCTTTAGCCCTCGGCTTAAAAGAAAATTAGCTAAGCATGACCAAAGTCATATTTAGTATTTGTTGAAAATGAAAATTAAAAGAAAATAAAGGAGTATGCGATAATAGAGAGAAAATAAAAAAAATAAGCTAAAGATAATTCCAATAATAACATCTTAAATCTTAATTAAAACACTTAAAACTATTTAAACTAAAATACCTAAAATAAAGGTAAACTAAAATGCTATTTAAAATAATATCTTAAATCCTAATTGAAATACTAACATCTATTTAAACTAAAATACAAAGATAAAATATAATGTTTAAAATATTATCCTAAACTTGAGTTTGATCCAAATTCGAATTCCAGAAATGTGCGACCAATTCATTCGTTCTTTAGAAACGCTGACTGGATCTTCTAGAAGGTGTTGACATCATCACCTCGTTGAATGTTTCATGTCCGAATTCATGCCACTAATCCAGCTTTGATTCCGAAAATAAAAAAAACTAGAAAATTATTTCCTTTTAGTGTAATTTCCAAATCTCTCTTTGCACAGAAAATGAATGAAAACGAACAATTAAGCCACAAAAACCAATGATTAAGGTGTAATTTAAACGCAAAATATTAACTAAATTAAGCACTTATCAAATTCCCCCCACTTATACAATGCTTGTTCTCAAGCATTCATCAATTAACATATCAAAATCATAAGTTGTCATCTTCAATTTCATGATATTCCTCAAACTTCCGATCGAACTAAGTCCATGATATTTGGCGAATTCAAGTAACAATCAAGCAAAGATAAAACCAATAAAATTTAAAGTAAACAAGATATCCCAATTAATTGCCAACTTCAATGAAACATGACTCATTACCTCACAAAGATTCACACATATTCGCTCAAAGTGTTTGGGGTAAATGAAATCGCTCAAACCAAAACTAACCAAAATATTACCATAGGCTTGGAATCCAATCAAGTTTCCACTACGAAAAATGAACATAATGCAATAGTTAATGGGTCTTTAGACAAGGTGTAACGAAGCTTAGGTTAGGGTAAGGAAAAGGCCAAAAGAAAGGTTTAAAATACCGAAACAAGAGATCAAAATAATTAAGAACGATCCATTAATTAGCATGAAGCACAATGAAGAACAAAACAAGGAAAAAATAGATGAAAGGCAATTGAAATGATCGATTTTTCCTTTTTTCCGAAACAGTGGACATTTTTTTTTCGTGGAACAAGATGATACAAGATCTCATGTCTCGGTAAGGGTGTGAAAATAGAGGAAAAATAAAAAGAAAGTTTTGGGTTTAATTATGGGGTGTAAAGGAAAGAAAGGGAAATAGGCTCAAATGTGGTTCACTAGTGGATACATAAACGGGTAGGCTTTTTTGTGAAAAGTGATTTATCCTAGGTTCCCCTATCACATTAAAACATTACATTCAACATGTAGTCTCGATATGCATTGTGATTACAAGTTCTAGAACATCCTAATTAGTTCGGTACACACAAGTCAAACAATGAGCAAGAAGGAAAATGTATGCTCATTAGGCCCAAATCTCACAAGAAAAGTTTATGTGCATTGAGTCAAGTTCATCTCTATCGACAAAAGCATGAAATATCAATACTCAGCAAAAATATTCACTAGCTATATCAATCACCAATCATGCAAATTAAATTCGATAAAAACATGACCACAATCCAAAAGAAAGCAAGAGTATAAAGCGAAATTCAAGACTAGCAACCAACGATCCCAACATATCAATATTAGAACAACTCAATTTCAATAATCAAATAAGTCAAGAAAATTTTTGACGACATACTTATCCTTCCCCCTCACTTATTCCGTTTTGTCCCTAAAACATATATTAAATTGAAAATCAAAGAGTCGAAAAAAGAATACTCCCCAATCTAGTGGCGGCAATGGTTAGACATCTTGTTGAAACCATGGTGTCTTGCAATCGACTAGAAGCAATGAAGAGTGGAGAACAGAGGTGCGATAGAATAGCAACAGCAGTGTAGTCGTTTTGATATTGGCATGGCTGGTATAAAAGAATAAAGAA